CACAAATGGGAAATGCAATTTGGAAAATTCTTTTTGTAACATGATCATTTACATGTTTATATACATTTCGCAAAGTTTCATAATTTTCAGAAGTCAAATGAATATTTTATAAATTGTTTAAATGTGTCAAAAACCTATTTTTATTTATGTTAGTTTTCGGTCGACCGAACCTGAGTTCATATGCTCACTGGGCGACAGAGAGTCTGTCGGTCAACCGGTCCGGTCGACCGATGAAATTTTCCAGTCGATCGATGAAATTTCCGGTCGACCGACAGTGTCTTTTTCAGCTTCCAACGGCTCTTTTTATTACCGTTGCTTTGGGCTGTTTTTGTCTTTTTGTTTGGGTTTTTGGCTGAGTTTTGAGAGGGTATAAATACCCCATTGCCTTCAGCTCTCCAACTAGCTAATGAGAGTTTTAATACAAGTTTAAGAAAGTTTTAACAAGGGTTTATGTTTGGTTTAAGTTTGTTTAAAAAGCTTTTAAGCATTTGAGAGTTTGTTTTTGAGAAATCAATTTCACAAGAGCTTGAGGAGATCATCTATTAGTGTTTGGGCATCCAACTATTCTCCCTCTACCTCTTGATCTATTGAGAAGTTTTCTAAACTCTATTTCTAGCTCTTTTATATATTTGATTATCATTGTTATTAAGCTAGAACTACATTGAGTTTAGTTTTGATTTATATATCTTTGTTCACACACAACCTTTTGAGCTTATTGTATTTACACTCATAGTATAATTTTGGGTTGTGGGTTTGTGACTAGGAGTTGTGCTTAATTGGGTTCTCACCTTGTTTAGAGAACAATCAATTGACTTATATTGTGCTTATTGTGAGATTCACTTTGTAATATACTTGTACACCGAGAGGAGTGTGTGGTGAGAGTCGGGATCGTCCCAAGATGAGTGGCGTCAGTTGACGTGCCTAGAGAGAGGTTGTAACCGAGCACTTGAGGGAGACACGGCTAGGTCCAACACTTAGTGGGTGTAGAGTGTGATTGCAAGAGTGTGAGTTGTAGAGTTTTCGGTTAGCTAGAAAACCGAGTGTGTAGAAGAAGTTCCGGCTTCCAAACCGGATTGTGTTAGTGGATTTCTCCCCGGGAGTGGGGAGCGGAGACGTAGGACGGAAGGTCCGAACTCCGTGATCATATTGCTTGTTTGAGTGTGCTTTGGCGTTCATTCATATTTATGTTCTTATCTTATATCGCCATTGTGCATTGCTCATTTCTATATCATCCACTATCTTGTTTAGATTGTTTATCCTTGTGTAGTTTATATGTCCTTGCATATATATTTTTATCATGTAGGATATATCTCTTTGTTGTTCATATTGCTTATCCTAGCTTACATATCTTGTTATATTTCACTCTTGCTAGGATAACTTGTTAATAAGTTTTAATTGGCATTTAATCAGATTAGATTAGCATAAGACCCTAATCACTCCCCTCTAGGGTCTAACAATTGGTATCAGAGCTTGGTACTATTTAATTTAAAGGTCTAACCGCCTTGAGTTAAAGATCCAAGTTATCTTATTTGTGCTAATCTAGTTAAGATTACTTTCGTCTTGCATGCATATTTTCACATATATATCATGAATATGAATATATTTCGTTTAGGCTATGAATCAAATATTGCTCCATAATTGCCTCCTCAATATGCATGAATGGGCCCGATGCCACAAGTGGGCCTGCTAGATGGAAACGATTGGGTGAAGCGAGAAAGAGCAATCGGATGGAAGGGAGAGTGGCCGTACACATGGCCACATGAGGAGAAAGCCAAGGGGACGCCGAGCAGGATAACAAAATAAAGGGTGAAAGTATGCAACAAGCGGGGGTAGAAGGTGGGCGGAAGGCCCGGGGACGCAGGCGGGGCGAACAACAGGGGGCAGGTGGAGAGCGGCGGACAAACGGTGGAAAGCGGTAGTGAAGCCACACGCAAGGGGGACGGGGCAGGCAGCCAACAAGCGGGAGGCAGGCTCGGACAAGGGCAGGTGCGAGGCAGCAGGCACACTGATCCACACAGAGGAGAACGCGCGTGCGAGGAAGCCAGGGCCAGGCGAAAAGGAGGGAGCGAGGGAGGGAACGCACGGGCATAGGAAAGCAGGGCGCAGGCCGATACTAAAGGGCAAAAGAAGGGGAGGCAGCGGAAATAGCAAGGAGTGGAGAAGGGGAAAAGACCGAGCAGGAGGGGAGAGGGTGCCAAAGGGGAGCGGCAGGGCCCAAATAGAAAAGGACGAGGCTGAAGAAAACAGGAGGACGAGGGAAAGGGGCCGAAAAGAAAAAAAGGACACAAGCAGCCAGGGCGGAGCGGAACGCAGGCCCGAAGAAGGCAGACCAGGCGAGAAGGAGAAGGGCCAGAGAATAGGAAAGGGGAGTCGCGGACAGAACGGAAGCCAGCCAGGGCGCGACGGCGAGGCGCCAAGACAGGGATGCAACAAGGAGGAGGGAGAGGCAAGGGAAACAGCATCAGAGCGAGCCGGCGAGATGGCAACCGGGAAAAACAGGTATGGCGCGCTGAACAAGGATAAGCGGAGGGATCAGGGCGGCCCGAAGGCGGCAGGCTCGACTGACACCGAGCACATAGGACATCAGCAGGACACACAGGCCGAGAGCTAAGCAGGGACAAAAGGCCCCTCCAGGGGGGCGAAAAGGCCCAGGGAGCCGACAAGGGGGCGAGTATGCCACAGAAAGCCCACAAAGGCCGCAGAGGAACCCGTCGGGGCAGCGCAGGACAAGCTGCAGCAGCACAAGGGGCCACAGGACACAGGCACAGACTGTCAGCAGGCGGCAGCAGAAGCAGGCCTCAGGTAGGAAAGGGGAGCAGGGCGAGGGCGCAGGGGGGCAGGGGCCAAAGGGGGCAGGGATAGAGAGGGCACAAGGGGCAAAAGAAGGGGAAAAGCAAACAGCCCAGGGGGCAAAGGGGTCGAAAGCGGGCGCGGGGGCACAGCTCCAGGCTGTCAACAAAAACGGCAACCAGGGCTCGGGCAGGCAACGAAGTGCAAGCGGAAAGGCTCAGTGGACACTAAGGGTGGGTGGACCGGGAGAGCGGTGCCAGCAGAGGGGCCCAATGAGCGGCGCAGAACCCGAGGGCGGGGCAGGGCAAGGAGATGGCGGCGCAGGCCATACGCAAGCCGTGCCGCACAAGAAAGGCGGGGGCAAATAGGAGGTGGAAAACTCAAGAAGGGGAGGGGGCGGAGGGGGGCGGGCGGGGCCGGAGGTCTGAAAAGGAGCAGGGGAAAAATCGGAGGGGCAAAACAAACCGGGCGGGAGACAAGGCGGGGGGGCAGGCACGAGGGAGGCGAAGGGCCCAGGAGATGGGGGAGAGGGAGGGAACCCCCGGGGGAGGGGGGGCTGGAGGCCCAAAGCACGGGAGCCGTAGGCGAAAAGGCCAGGAGAGAGGGGGGGAACAAGCGCAAGAGCCGGGAGATGAACGGGGGCCGACGCGGAAAAAGGAGGTGTGGGCAGGGGCTGACGGGGCGGGGAAAGCAGGAGAACCGCACGGAGGAGGAGGAGAGGGAGAGGGGGGCGCGCAAAGGGAGCAGCGAGGCGCGGTCCCGGAGAAGGGAGCGCGAGAAGGGGGGGGCAGCAAGGGCGGACAAAAGAAGGGGGGGGGGGAGTCAAACAGCAGGGCGGGGACAAGGAGGGAGGGAGAGGCGGGGGGGGAGGGGCCAGGAGGAAACAACGGGGGCATGGAAGCGCAGGGGCCGACGGCGGGGGAGGGCCAGAAAGCGAGGCGGGGAGAGGGGAGGGAGAGGGGGGCGGCCGAAGGAGACACGTGCGTGCAGAAGGAACAGAGGGGAGAGGCGGTCGCAGGGCCGTGGGGGAGCGGGCAGGGGGGCGGGGAGCCACGAGGGGGCAGCGAGGCGGGCCCGCACGCAGAAAATAGTCTAGAAAGAACCGAGGCGCCAGGAGCGGCAGGGCAGAGAGGGCGAGAGGGCCGGGGAGAGGGGGCAGCCTAATCCGCCGATGGAGCGGGCGAGGGGGGAGACGCACCCGAAGGCAGAGGGGGAGGCGCGCGAGCGGCGCAGCGTCGGACGGCCGGGCGGGGGACGCCGCGGGGGGAGGGGGGCAACAGGGCGAGAAAGAGGGGGAGGAGAGGCGAGCCGGGGGAGCGAGATGCCCATGGGAGCGGATGAGCGGGAGAGGGGAGGGCCGGGCAGGCAGGAGAGGCCAGGCGGGGAAAGGAGCTGGGCAGCAGCAAAAAGCGAGGGCAGAGGGGTGGCGGCGGGGTAGCGGCCAGGGATAGAAAGAAGGGAGAACGAAGGGGGAAGGCAGGGCGGGGGTGCGGAGGGAGGCAGAGGACAAAAACAACGGAGCGGAGCGGGGCGACCAGGCGAGGTAAGCCGGAACGAGCAGAGCAAAGGAGAGCGGGGGAGCGGAAATGGGGGCGAGGCGAAGCCAGCGGACAAGGCAATTGCGCAACGAGCCAAGGCGGGAGCCGGGCAGCCGCCAACGGGCGGACCAAAGGGCAGGCGCATAGGAAGAGCAATGGAGCAAGCCTGGGGGGAAGTGGAGCGGGAGGAAGGTGAGAGGAGGGGGGAGGACGGGAAGCCGCAAGCAGGAGACACAAACAGACACGGGGGAGGCGGGCGGAGAGAGAGAGCGGAGAGAGAGACAAGAGAGGGGGGGAAGAGGGGCGAAGGGGATAGAGGAAAACAAAGGAATAGAAGCGGGAAAAGACGAGGGGGCAGGGTGAGGGGGCTCCGAGAGAGGAGGGCGGCGGCAACAAGTGGAGAGGGAAGGGGACAAGCAGAGGAGGGGGGGATGAGAGGGCCATAGCAGAGGCAAGGGGGGGAATAGAAGAGGCGGAGCGGGACGTAACAAGAAAGTCAGAGCCAGATGGGAGGAAGGCGAGAGAAGCAGGGGGCAAAGTGGCAAACAGGCGGGGAGCCAAAAAGAAGCAACAAGGGCAACGGACGGGCGGCGGGCGGGCAACGAGGGGAAAAGGCAGGCAGGGGGCACAAAGTGCGGAAAGATCAAGGGAAAAAGGCGGGTGGGAACAGGGGCAGGGACAGGGGGCGAGAGACAAGGCCCAAAGGGGCAGAAGGCGGCAGAAGGCAAAAAGGAATAGGGGACATAAGGGGGAAAGGGGGGAAAACCGGGGGCGGGGAAGGCGCAGGGCGGGCGACCGCCACCGCACCGGCGACCCGGAAAGGGCAGGGGCGCAGAACGACAGATGAGCAGGGCGCCGCGCCCGGCGAGCGGGTCGGCGGCGGACGACGCGGGCGGGCAGGCGCCCAACGGCGAGGCGAGCCGGGGCCAGAAATGGCGGGCGGGAGGCCGGAGGGCAGGGGGGGGCTCGTGGGTGGGCGCGGAGAGGCCGACGGCCGAGAAGACCCCAGGGCAGGCAAGGCGAGAAAAAAAAACAAACAGAAGGGGGGAAAGAGGGGAACAATGGGGAGGAATAACGGGGGGAGGGGGGGGAAGGGGGGGGAAGAAGCGGGGAAGCAGGCAGCGGGGAGCGGGGGGGAGGCAAGGCGACTAAGAGCGGGAGGAGCAGGCAAGCGAGGGGGGCGGGGGCAGCAACGCAGGCGCCCGGCAACGCGGGACGAGAGGGAAAAGGGGCGAAACGACGCGAGCGAGGGAGAGAGGGGAGGAGCAGGGAGGGAGCGAGAACGACAGGAGGGGATGGGGGAGGCGAGATGCGCGGGCCGCAGACACAACTCGGGGGAGCGGAGGGGAAGGGCAGCAGAGGAGAAGGGGCGGGCGGGGGGGGGCGGGACGAAGAGGCCGGAAGGGACGGCGCAGCCGGGGGAGAACAAGCAAGGGAGTAAGGGCGGCGGAGGGGGAGAAGCACGGGAGAAAGACACGGGGACACCGAGGAGGAGGGGGGGAGGGAGAGGCGGGGAGCGGCCGAAGATGGAATGAAAAATTGACTTCATCTATTGCTAGCTTAACTCATGCCTATAATAATGCCATGATAGAAGTAAAAATAATTAGAAATAAGTTTAATTCATTCAAATATGATCATGTTTCATCTACTTCTATTTCCAATACTTGTATGCCTAACAATGAGTTGGATCATGTTAAAGAACGCATATCATCTTTAGATTCAACCCTTAAAACATGCATTGTAGATAATAAGAAACTTATGGACTTGGGTGCAAAGTCTCGTACTACACAACTTCTAAACACGTACACTTTGCACACTTGTATAGCAAAACTTATAAGTGTTCTATTTGCAATCGTAAAGGTCATTTAGCTAAGTTTTGCTATGATGCACAAAAACATAAGAATATTAATCCTTCTTGTGCATCTCATAAGGCTTCTTCTTCATCACATGTACACACACATGCAATGCTCATGTGTATAGATGTGATCATTGTGGTAGATTTGGTCATTTGGCCAAATTTTGTTTTGATTTAAAGAGAGTTTCACATTTGCAAAATAATTTTAAAAGATCATCCATGTTTGCAAATGTTTCAAATGTTTCTCGTGCACATCCACATGGTCAACATAACCAAATGCATCCTCTTCATTGCACTTATTGCAATCGAATGGGTTATTTGCATAATTATTGCTATGACCGGACCCGTGCACTAAATGCGCCCAAATGGGTTCATAACCCAAGGGCTTTGAGCTTAAATGATAGGGGTCATGTCCCTAAATCTTTTGGTACCAAGAGTTCTTGGGTACCAAAACAAATTTGATTTTTAAACCAAGAATTTTAATGTTTTTTTTCCCTTCTCTTTCTTGGTTTTGAAAAATTATACTTTAAACTTTTGAACATGAAAACAATTCCTTTTCTTTGGTCAAATTCTTTTGTTTTCATGATTATTGATTTTGTTTTTGATGAGAGGTTTGTATTTAT